CCAACTGAGCCACCCAGGCGCCCTATGATCTATTTTTAAATGTGCATTTTTAAAAATCCAGAACTATGCATTGAAAAGACAACAAATGCAAAGTGTCTGCTTAATTGACTTTGTACTTTTGTCAAAACTCAGTTGACAGTATTGATGTGGGTCTATCTCTGAGGTATCTATTCTATTCCTTTGACATATGGTCTATGCTTTAGTCAACAACACACTGTCTTCATTGTTGTGCTTTATAGTAAGTCTTAAAATTGGTTACTGGGTCCTCCAACTTTGTTCTTTTTCAGAATTGTTTTTGGTTTTTCAATTTCCTTTGCCCTTTCCATATACTTTTAGAATCAGCTTGTCAATTTCTATTAAAAAGTTTGATAGGGTTTTAATTATGATTGCACTGAATCTAGACATCAAATTGGGGAAAACTGACATCTTCATACTGAGCCCTCCAATCTGTGAACATGATGTAGTTCTTCATTTAGTTCTATCTTCTTTGATTGCTTTCAACAGCATTTTGTAGTTCTCAAAATGCAAACGCTGCACATATTTTATTAGGATTATACCTAAGGACTTCAATTTCTGGTGCTATTGTAAATAGTATGGATTTCCTAATTTAAAATTCCAACTATTCATTTCAGATATATAGGAAAAAATTGACTTTCTTCATATTTTGTGACCTTGCTAACCTCACTTACTAGTTCTGGGAGCTTTTCTGGAGATCCTGTGGAATTTTCTGCAAAATAATATCCTCTGCAAATATAAGTGTTTTTTTTTTTCTTATTTTCCAACCTGTATCCCTCTTATTTCTTTTCTTATCTTCCTGCATTGTCTAAGACTCCCAATATGGTGTTAAAGGAATGTTAAGAGAGGGCATCCTTGTTTCTGAATTTAGGGGAAAATATTCAGTCTTTCACCATTAACTACAAAGTGTTAGCTGTAGGTTTTCAAAGATGTTCTTCATTAGGTTGATAAAGTTCCCTTCTGACCTCAACTTTACTAAGAATGTTTATCAAGAATAGAGTTGGATTTTGTTAGATACTTGTTCTGTGCTTATTGAAATGACATACAGAAGAAATATGCTTTTTATTTAACCTGTCAATAAGATGAATTTATATTGCATTTCTAGAATGAGACCCTTGATTATGATATACTTTCATTTTTATATACTGCTGGATTTGATTTGCTAGTATGTTGTTGAGGATTTCTGCATATATGTTCATGAGGGTTTTGGCTCTGTATTTTTCTTTTCTTATAATGTCATTGTCTGGCTTTGACATTAGGGAAAATACTGATGTCATAAAATGAACTTAGGAAGTTTTTCTTCTACTTTCTGTCTGGTAAAACTGCCATTAGGTTTTTCTTAAAGGTTTGGTAGAATTAACCAGAGAAACCATCTGGGCCTGGTGTTTTATGTAAGAGTCTTAACTTCAAATTCAATTTCTTTAATAGATATACAGCTATTGAGTTTATCAACTTCTTCTTGAGTTAGTTTTGGTACTTTATGTCTTTCAAAAAATTTTTGAAAGTTATGTCTTTCATAAAGTTTCAAATAGTTTTAACATCAATGTAAACACATAAGACAAGATTAGCAGACTAGAGGACATTTCTAATGAAAGTATCCAAATTAGAGAGAGAGGAAAAAAAAAGAATTAAAAATATCAAAATAAGCACAAGATACATGAGTCTAAAAATCTAAAAAATCTTACACACGTCTAAAAATCTAATATAAGTATAATTGGGAAATCCAGAAAAACAGATAATGGGGCATAAGTACTGTTTAAAGAAAGAATGGCTATAGGTTTTCCAAAACTAATGAAAAATATCAACCTACAAATTTAGGAAGCCCTGAAAATTTAACATAGAATCAATCCAAGAATACCACATCTAGGTATAAAGAGTAAATTACTAAACACAAAGTTGAGGAGTAAATCTTAAATGCAACAAAGTGGGGAAAAATTCCCACATTACTTCAAAGGTGTAATAGCTTACTTTTCAAGACACAAAAAAGCCAGAAGACAATGTAATACCTTCTTTAAAATACCAAAGAAAATAACTTTACCAACCTAGAGTTTTATATCCAATAAAACCATCCCACATAAAACTAAAACCAAGATGTTTTCAAACAAAATCGGAATTCACAGCCAGGAGACTGTTGTAAAAGAAGTATTAAAGGCAGAAGGAAAATGACTAGAATCCATATGGGAACATGGAATTACAGGAAAGAAGGAAGAATAATAGAAAGGATAATGAATAAAATGAAAGAACATGAATAAACATTACTATATAAATAAAATTAATTTCTTGTGTGTTTTATATATGTAGAATTAAAATGCATGACAAAAATGTGCAAAAAAGGGGCGCCTGGGTGGCTCAGTTGGTTAAGCGACTGACTTCAGCTCAGGTCATGATCCTGGAGTCTCGGGATCGAGTCCCACATCAGGCTCCCTGCTCAGCAGGGAGTCTGCTTCTCCCTCTGACCCTCCCCCCTCTCATGTACTCTATCTCATTCTCTCTCTCGCAAATAAATAAAATCTTAAAAAAAAAAAAAATTAAAAAAAAATGTGCAAAAAAAGGGGGCAGGTTAAAAAGGGTTAAATGTTTTAGGGCCCCATTACTGTTAGAGAGGTCAACGAAAAAATAATTTGTCATGTATGCATTTTGAAATCTGTAGAGGAACCAATAAAAAAAAGTTAAAAATGAATAACAAATTAATAAAAAGGAAAGTAAGTTATAAAAAATACTTACCAATCCAAACCAAAGCCACATCAATCTACATAAAAATTCTAGATTTTAATTCTTCAAAAAAAACCTTGTGCTACTCACAAGATATGCACTTTAAATATAATGATAAAAAGAAAAAAAATGGAAAAATACATACCATGCATAGACTAGCCAAAAGAAAGCCATTGTAACTACAAATATCAGATAAAACATACCGCGAAGCAAGGAATATTACTAGAGATGAAGAACCTTCACAATAAAAGGTTCTGTATCCCACCAATGACATAGCTTCAAAATATATAAAATTAACAAAACAAGAAAGAAATCTTGAGGCTTAAACCTTTCTTGGGACTTGATATCTATCTATCATGATACAGAAAAAATTATTTTAATCAGATCATATATTTAAATGGGAAATAAAACAGAAAGCCTTTAGAGGAAAACATAGGAGAAAGTCTTGAAGTACACAAAATTTCTAAAAATGTTAATCAACAACAAAAAACTATAATGAATTGAATTCCTTAGGATTAAGAATTTCTTTTCATCAAAAATGTCATTAAGAGAATAAAAAGGCAAGGCACAGAGTGAGAAAAGACAATTACAAAACATATACCTAAAAATTCATATCAAGGATCTATATGGAACTCTCAACAAAAAACCAAAAGGAGACAATTCAGTACAAAAATTGGCAAATGACTTGAACAAGCACTCACAAAGGAGAATATCCAATGGCCAATAAGTATATTCATTAATCATCAGGAAATAGCAAATTGAAACCATCATATGATAAACTACTTCTTACCAAAAGGCCAAAATGAAAACACACACAGGTGCACGCACGCGCGCACACACACACACACACACACACACGCCAATTAAGTACCAGAAAGGATGTGGAGCAAGTATAACTCTCATACACAGGTAGTAAAATCACTTGAAAAATTCTTTGCCAGCACCTTCTAAAGCTGAATGTACACATACCCTATGACTGGGCAATTCCAAATAGGAAGAATACATACATACCCAAAGAAGAATACATACATATCTTAATAAGAATACAATGATACCCAAAGTATGCATAAAATGCTTATAGCAGCTCTATAATAGCCCAAACCAGAAACAACCCAAATGTCCATCAACAGAGGAATGAATAAGTGAACAGTAGTATTTTCATATAATAAAATACCATACAGGAGCAAAAGTGAAGAACTATTGCTAAATACAAGATGTCTGCAGTACAAAGAAGTCTGAATTGCAAAGTCAAAGTGAAACAAGTCAGAGAAAAAAGTAGATACTGTAGGATTTCATTTATATAAAGATTAAAACACACAATACTAATCTTGCTATTAAAAATTAGGATAACTTTTACCCCTGGAGTGGCAGTAGCTGAGAGGAAAGAAGAGAAGCTTCTGCAGAGCTGATAATAGTTTATTTCTTGATTTGGTAAATAGTTTACAAAAGAGTGTGCTGATTTATTATAATTCATCAACTTGTTACTTATGATTCGTGCATTTTCTACATATATATACACTGTACTTTGAAAACAAGCTTAATTTAAAAACAGTATGCATATAGCAACTTAAAACTGTACAAACTGATGGAATGTCACATAATCCAGTTATATCATCAGGACCAAGCCTAGTACCCAACATGACACTCATGATAAATGATTGTTTTTTAAACTACTGAATGAAACAAACAAACAAAAAATCAAACACAAAAAGAATACACTGTAATTATTCCCCAGCTGTCCTTCATATATATGTTTATTTGCCTTACCTCAGAAAATATTCTCATATTGATGTTCTCTAATATTAAACCCAGTAAACCTGACCTGCTCTTTTCCTCTTTTAAATATTTAATTAACATAAAAATCAGTTGGGAAGCTGCTTCAAAATAATTATTTCTCACCCCACCTCCCCTCATTCTACCATTTAAAATAAAATATTTGTGGGAAATGGAATTGTTTTATACTGGGCCACAAAAGAGTCTCCACACTTTGAAGGCTATAAAATAATTATCATAAAGTCTCTACTTACTGACTCTGAGATAGTTATTAGTAACATTGTTTAGAGTTCAGATGATGTTAAACATTTTGCATAATGACTCAGGTCAAGCAGGAAGTTAGAGAAGTTGCTTTAGCAAAACCACTGACTTCCATTGAATGGAGGTTGTATCTTTCTTTCTTCTCTTTCCAGTGATTTACTATTATAAGCTTTAAGCATCTTCACTGGTTTTCTTGCCCAATTAGAAAAGGCCTTCAAGAGAAAATTTTAGAAACTAACATATAAATGTCTTTGATGAGCCTGATGTGATTTCAAGACATTTTTTACCCGATCATGGATCTCATCACAGTTTGAAGGTGAACACCAATCAGAATGGAATCTGTGGGCATAAAAAACAAAGGTGACTTGTAGTCAGAGGGAGAGAAAAATAAATCTTTCCAAATGCCAGACACAGAAAGTCATTTTTTTCCTTATCCCTGTGTGATAACATAGAAAGATTAAAATAGTATATTTTCTTCATTGACCAAGGATGAGAGGCAGATGTAAAATCAGGCACTGATCCTCTGCAGAAGTATTAAGTCTTTATAATATGTGCAATAAGCAGTCTTAATAAAGTTTGGCGTGAATTAGGGAGAGCATAATGATCTCCTTACATAAGTCTTTAGAGCTTTATCTCTAAATAAAGATACAGATGTTCAGATTAGAACAATAATTCCATGTATAGTGCCTTTAAAATTAGTTCTTATTTTCCAGTAATTTAATCCCACTCTCTTAAATTATGTGGGAGAAGTTCCTTTCTGTATACAGAAAAATAAAACTAATTTTATGAAATGAATAAAATGTTTAAATAGATGAAAATATTATTTAGAATCCTATCATGTTCTTACTCCCTCAAAATATAGAGGAACAAAAAAATTGAATGATCCCCTCTCCACACAGATACCACTCCTCTAGTCTCTCCTGTAAGTGTGTGTGTGTGTTTTTTTAAGTGAATATTGAAAAACAGGAAAGGAAAAATGTGACTTTTATTAAAATCTGAGTTGTGGAATTACAGAAGAAACAGAGCAACCATTCTTCTTTCTGATGCCCTTCCCAAACTCAAAACTGGCATTAGTTTAACTAAGCTACTTTATTTACCTTATACAACTAATAATGAAAACCTCCAGGTCCATCTGATTATAATTCATCTATATCAAGTGTTACTGATAATTCCTTCATAAAGGAATGGGTACTAAAATGCTAACTGCTTACATCTTTGCCTTTTTTTTCTCCCAGCTTGTTCTTGCAAAGTTATAATTTTATGTTTATACAAGGTATAAACTATTAAGCAGGAAAAATGATTTACATAATCTGTTTCAAAGACTGTAATCAATAATGGATGATTAACTATATCTAAATTTTAATATCCTACATTTGTAAGAGGAAGTGTCACTGCATCTACACAAGTATATTGTCTGACCTTGTTATTTGCTACATATGTAACCCATCTTGAAAACCTGAGATCCAAATATTTAGTTCCAAGAGGATCTCTTCAGTGTACTATGAGAGGATCCACTAGTCTGTGCTGTGGTATAAGAAATGATTGCCTAACAATCTTTAACTTCATTTACAAAATTCAAAACTGTAAGCATGATTAAAAGGAATATCAGCTCCTTTTTAATTAGATTTGCAAGTATTTCTTAGTCTGATTTTAGTAATAACTCTACAGCCTAATACAAATGATAAGTCATAATATTAATATTTATACTTGGAGGAGAAAACTGCTTCTGAAATGTAACACTTATAATAAAAATTGCAACCATTTTATGTGTGTTAACTCTATTGGAAATATTTTTTTTTTAAATGGGCTTAAAGCAAAAAGCACCTTCACTATAAATAAAGAAATTCATTTGCTTACAGTCACTAATAGAGTTTTTGAAAGTCTGTTTATTCACATACATGATTAAGGAGTCAACATTTTACAGTAATCTTAGAGGAAAACTTACTTCATCTTCATGAATAACTACCCAGATAACCTCCTATAGCTGTATATTGTCATACTCCCAATTTTGCTGGTGACATACAATCTACATTTATACCAGTTTAAATTGTTTACTGATTCCACTGGATTTTATAAACACTCTGTAAGTGTACTGCTCAGTAACCTAAAAAGCCATATCAGAGAACATCTTATATATAAGAACACCTTATATTCGGTACTGAGTGTACTGAAAAGGATGACATGTTTTTGTTCCTAGTAATATGTCCTATAGACATTTTATTTTCTTTTGTAACTAAGTCTAAATCTTTTTTAGAACATACACTCAAAGTAGAGGTGTTCTACCTTAGTGAAAGTAAAAAAGTTTATCCTAAGGAGTACCCCAATAAAAGTTTAATTTATTTAGATTTTATTTTATTTATTTTAAAATAATTTATTTTAAAAGCACCTCAACCTTCCTCAAGTGATAGGTGAAATGGGTCATGTTTAATATTAGAGCTACTCATTTCCTTCGAGAAAAGAACTTAACTACATCTACTACCAAGCATCAGAATAAATGTGTAAATGCTGCTCACTACTAGAAGCCATCACCTGAACTGGAATATGAAAAAGGGACAGTCGACTTTAGCTAACCCCAGTAAAGAATTTTTGAGTATAGCCTCAATGAAGAATTTATCAACTAGGGAAGACAGGCTTCAAAAGCTGGGACAAAATTATAGACAAGGATAAAATAACATGGGACTAAAATTCATATTGTACTACAGCGGTAGAGACAACTGTGGAGCTGTGCAAAAGATGTGAAAAGGCAGAAAAATAAAACCATGTTTATAAAAACATACCCAAGGAGATATAGGTAAAAAATTTCCTGAAAACCTACAGAGATGGCAAAGAACCCAAAGAATAAAACCACAAGGGCTTAATTCTTAAAGTAAGGAAAAAGAGAGTAGCACTGACTACGTGTTTGAACATCTGAGCAGACACGGAAATTAGAGAAAGTCCCCTGACAACTGAGACACAAGTTACCAGACTTCAGCAGGAAAATCTCTCCTCAAAAGTTTCTCTTGAACTTTAAAGCCTATAGAAACAGAGATACGTATCTCTCTCGTAAAATATAGAGATAGATCTTTTAATCTATGTGTCCATCTCTATCTATGAACTCCATGATCCCTCAGGCAGGATTCTAATGGCCTAGAAGCAACATTAATCAAAATTCCCCATCTGAGGATTAGGGTCTCCAGCAGACCTCCATAGATCCATTTGAATGCTACAGGGCTAATGAGGAAACAGACAAAGCTATCTGTTCAGAATAGAGATGTTTTAATACAGCTTCCAAACTGATACACTCTTGCTCAAATCATCAATTTTGAGATGAACTTTCTGACAGACTATACAGTTAGTTTAAATTTTGTCAATTATGTCTGACAGTTGTAATAAGCTGTACAAATTTAGTGTGTTACATTACCTTTTTGATACCATCTGTAAAGATAGATTTTATATCCATTTGTTGATGGCATTTCTCTTAGGTGTTCAAATTTCTATAAAAATTTTAAACTACCTAGGGTGGGCTTTTTTTTTTTTTTTTTAATTTATGACAACTCTGTTTTCTATGTTACTCTTAGTGAGTGAGGCAAGGAATTTCCAATTTGAATTTAACAACAACAAAAACAGACAAAGAGGAATTATTTCTTTCACATTCAAATTATAACAAGTATCTAACTTTGGTTGTCAAAGCTTTTTTAGAGGGAGGCTGGAATCTTTACATGGTTAAGACTCTCCCGCGTAGTTGGGGAGGGTTTATTTGAGGAAATCAGTTACCATATACCAACAATATATGGCATCATCATTACCACTAAAAGGAATGTATAATCTATGCTATTTTTATACATTAGCCATGTCCATAATGTTAAGTCCCTATGAATCTCTTGAAAACAAGCCAACATGCACTATTTTTCACTTTTATGAATTATAGTATTTAATTAGGGTTAAAGTGACTCTAATTAATAAACTCACCAATAGTTAATAAACTCACTTCAAGAGGACTGGGTTGGGGAGGAGTATGTAGTACTATATAATATGTAATATATTCTAAACAAAAAGTAAGCCTTTTAAAATCAAATTATACTTGTATGAATAATCATTTCACATACATAATTGCTGCCTTGTCTTTTCTAATAATGATTATTCAAAAAATCAGTATAGAAAGAGAGACTAAGCATTACCTTTCCCTGAGAGAAGCTCGATTTAACACAGGGCTTGGAGAATGCTTCGGCATTGTTGAGGGTGCTGAATGGACGAGTAAGGTCCTTGCTGAATGCTGTGGCTTGCTACATGACCGTGAGCTTAAATACTCATCACACCTTTCCAAAGAGTCATCAAAGTCTCTCCCATGGGGTGTCCTGATAACCTGTTTAAAAAAATATTTGCATACACATAATAAATGTGGTAATATTATACATACAACCTTAAGAACCTTTGTAAGAGTTTAAAAAAAAGTATAATGCCACAGCTATATTTGAAGGTAAATTTCAGAATGTAGCAGTCATCGTTTTCACTGTAAGATTAAATATTAAATATATCTGGATTATTCATTCCACATGTCTAAAATTTATAAAACTTTATCAATTCCAAGGGCTTTTGAGTAGTGGTGGGGTAAAGGTAGGGGTGTACATATAAAACAAAGGGCAATACACAGAAACTAACTATAGCCCAGTTTAGCTATGAGGCCAAACAGAACAGAATTCTATCCTAATACTCATTCATTGATTCATTTGTTCTGGGGACAAATGAATAAATCAGGATAGAAAAATTAATAAATTCCTACCCTTATTATGTGGAACTTCAATTCTAGTAAAATTTACATTCTACTAATGAGCAGCTTTCATCCCAGAACCAAATAGCATGTGATTCAAATGGCTCAGTTACAGTCCCAAATAACTGACTAAGAAATATGTAATCTACATGTCTAAGGATGGTAAATACCAGGAGAAGAAAATAAAGCAGGAAAGGAGATAAGAAGTGCTGATGGGTGGTGTAGGAGGGGTATGGAGGGAAGAAGCTGCAATTTTAAATAGGATAATCAATGGGGACCTCACAGAGAAAGAGAACGTCTTAGTAAAGACCTAAGGAGTAAAGGCCTGAAGACCTTAGTAAAGACCACAAGACCTAAGTCATGGGGACATCTGTAGGAAAATCATTCCAGAAAGAGAGAAAAATAAATGTAAATAAACGCACCTGTGGGGGTGCAGTGGAGAGCACAGCCTGGTATATTAGAAATAGCAAAGAAGCCAACAAGGCTGAACTAAATAGTAGGCGATGAAGTTAAAAAGGTAGATTTTAAGGATTTAGGTTTCTATGCTGTGACTTTTTTTTTAAAATGAGATCTCCCTGGCTACTATGTTAAGAACTGTCTATAAGAGGGGCCAAGGGCAAGGCAGGGAAATCAGCTAGGAAATGATTATAATAAAATATGGAAAAGGATGCTGGATTGGATTAGAGTAATAATCAATGGAGGTGAAAAGTGATCAGACTCAAAAGGCATTTGAAAGATAGAGTCAACAGGATTTGCTGATGGACTGGATGTCAAAGATAACACCAGTCTTTTGGCCTAATCAACCTGAAAAGTTGAGTTTGTATGATTTAGTTATACCCTTCCAACTGGAAGGATGGAAGAGTAAATGTTAGGAGTCTGTTTTTGGACATGTTGAACTTCACATATCAATTTATTAGTCACGCAACATATTAGAGTAGAATTTAGGAGAAGAGTCCAGGATAAAGATACAAATGGTATTTAAAGACAGGGCACTGGATGATATCATCAAGGAAGAGAGCATAAATAGAAGAAAACATCTCAAGACAGAGCCCTGGGAATACACTACTACTGAGAGGCTGAGAAGATGAGAAGGAAACATGAGACTAAGGAGTGACCAGGGAAGAAGGGGAAGAAACAGGAGAATGTGTTGTCAATTGAAGAAAGCATTTCAAGTAAGGGGAGTAACTAAGTTAAATATTGCTGATAAATCAAACTAGAAAAGATTGCGAATGGACCTTTGTATTTTAGCAATTGGAAGGTCATCAGTAACAACAAGAGTAGCATTGATGGAGTGATGGGAGTGATAATCTGGAGTTGAGTTAGGGGCGCCTGGGTGGCTCAGTCGTTAAGCGTCTGCCTTCAGCTCAGGTCATGGTCCCAGGGTCCTGGGATTGAACCCCCCCTCATCGGGCTCCCTGCTCTGCGGGAAGCCTGCTTCTCCCTCTCCCACTCCCCCTGCTTGTGTTCCCTCTCTCGCTGTGTCTCTCTCTGTCAAATAAATAAATAAAATCTTAAAAAAAAAAAAAATCTGGAGTTGAGTTCAAGAAAGAATGAGAGAGGGGAATTGCATTCATTTAATAAATATTTAACCCTCCAGTCACTATTTTAAGTGATGCGACTACGACAGTGAACACAACAAGGTCTCTGCCTTTATGAGCCAATGTCCTAGCAGTATTATTTCATCAATATCTGACATTTAAGGAGGTCAATTTGATCTTAGGAAAGCCACCTAATCTTTCATATATAAAATAGGGTTAATAATAGCTATCTTATAGATCTTCTACAATTTAAAGTACTTTGTAGAATGTCTAGGTATATGAATTAGTTATACCATAAATATAAGTCCTTTATTATTAACTACCAGTCCAACACAACTTTTTGCTTCAACACTACCACAATTTTCACTGCTTTCCAGAATTATAGCAACATATGAGTCAGCAGTGAGCTGAGAGAATCAAGCTTTCATCCCGGAACCAAACAGCATGTGATTCAAATGGCTTTACAGTCCCAAATAACTAAGAAATATGTGATCTAGACTGAATAAAAAATCAAAAATTGTTCCACTGTTAGCTGTTCACAGAGATAAAGTAAAAGCACAGTAAATGTTAAAAAAAGATCAAAGAGGTCCATGGTCAACAAATGTAAGGGTATATATAAAAGAGACTTACAGGAAAGAAAAAGTGCCGTAATGCTGTTTCTAGAGTTATATCCAAATACGAGCTCCTTGGCTTATGCTAGAGAGATTATGTTTTCTTTGTTAATTTTTTTTAAAGATTTTCTTTATATATTTGAGAGAGAGAGAGAGAGAGCACAAGCAGGGGGAGGGGCAGAGGGAGAGAGAAAAGCAGGCTCCCCACTGAGCAGGGAGCCCCATTTGGGTATATCCCAGGACTCTGGATCATGACCTGAGCCGAAGGCAGACACCCAACCGACTGAGCCATCCAGGCACCCTTCTTCATCAATTTCAACGCCAACTGAGTCATGTTGGCTAGGAGCACTTCATTTTTTGTTTACTAAATTTTCTCCCCAAACTAGTCAGCAATATTTTAAATACAGCACTTTCCTCTATTTATCAGAATATTCACTGAGAATCTTTTGAACCACATGTTAGCTAATACTCAGGTCTAGAGAGGTACAGGGATTTGAATGCACAATCTAGATGAGATGTGGCATAAACACAAAGATAACTGACGATGAGATATGCTGTGTCAAATATATCCTAATGACAATAATGCAGAAGGATATTCAACGATTTTGGTCTGAATGGTGGAAGTCTCATGGAGGAGGTGGGACTGGAACCAAGGCTATAAGTAAAGAAAGAGAAACGGCATTAAGAGTGGGGGAAAAGGAGAAAGGACAGATGCACACTGAGTATGATAACTTGGCTATCTCTATAGGAAAGCAATAGGAGAGAATATCTCAGAGGTGGAAAGGGGCACATTATAGAGAACTTTAAATGCTGTAACCCAATACTATTCAACATTTATTAAAGCATATTTTATGTATAAAGTACTGAACAAGGTAGGAGACAGCAATCACAGATAAGACCTCAAAGAAGTTACAATGCATGATGGCAGACATGAAAAAACAAGTACTGATAAAATAAAGAGGAAGGAAATTAGAATTAAATAGATATATAATAAGTAACTGTGCAATGGGATCACAGCTAGGATGTAGTCTTTCCATGGAATTAGAGTAAATATTTGTTTTGTAATGTTTTATATCTACATGGAGGACTGAAAGGTATAATGAGGGGGTGAGTCTTTGATAAGAATCCATTTCAAACTTTGAGTCTTAAGCCTTAGCTTAAGAAACATTTCCATAGCTCTTATGAGTTTTTCATGGGTTGCTTACTCACTTTCAGAAATCAAATGGAATATTAATGTCTTTGGCTCATTACTGAAGAGTTCCTTTCTTGGATGATTCCTCAAGAACACTGGCTTACAGTCCAAAGACCTGGGTTCAAATCCCTGCCTGACCAGGTCATCTTTCCAAGCTTTAGTTTCCTTATCTATAAACTGGGCAAATAATCTTCCAGGTTTGCCACAAAAATGTGGGAAAATTAGTGAAAACACAAAGCAGAGGGTATAGCTTATGAGAGAGAATAATATTTATGTCCTCTGTTTACAGCAATCTTCATATTTCAGCATAAAGGGTATTTTTTTTACATTTATGGAAATAGTTCTTTAAATGCCCTAAGACCTCAAATATGTAACAATTCCAAGATTGCAAATGTTAAAATGTATCAAGATAAAAAATTTAGTATTTTTAAACCAATCTAAAACTGTTATAAGTAGAAAAGTTTCATACATAAAATTAATTGTAATTTCATAAATGTAATTATGCAAATGACATACTTTTCAAATTTGTGATATATAATGGTTTCGTTACACTATACTCATGAAATAAGAGTCCTGAAAAGTTGTTTACATGATAATCTGATAAATTAAATCACATTAATGGCCATAACATTTTATATTTACAGGAACTTCAAGATCCAATTAATGGAAGGAAGAATTAACTACTAAGTATAATGGGAAACAGGAAATTCACTTATCCAACAAGTATCTATTGAAAGCTTACTTAGTGCCTGATACTCAACACCATGCTCTAAAACTTCTCCTTTGTCATGGGGCATAAAATTTAAGAAATAAATACAAATAATTCTAATGGCTAAAATTAGCTGGGAAATAGTTGAGAATAAGGAGTGCAGGAAAAAAGTGCAGTACAGGTACTGCTTTGAGGATGGTAAGAAAGTAAAGTTCTCATTCAAAAGAGAGAGAAACAGGGACACCTGGTGGCACAGTCAGTTAAGCTCCAACTTTTGGTTTCAGGTCATGATCTCACGGTCATGAGATCAAGCCCCACATCGGGCTCCATGCTCAGTGGGGAGCCTGCTTGGGATTCTCTCTCTCCCTCTGCTCCCCTCCCCGTTTGTGCTCTCTCTCTCAAATAAATAAATCTTTTAAAAAAAGAGAGAAGCAGATATTGGTAACTAAGAGGAGTTTCTCAGTTTTGCCAAGAATATTCCTTAGTGAATCCTATTTCAAATGAGTAATCAGTTCCTATCTTATCTAGTTTAAAAATCCATACAC